AAAAAAAAACTAAAACCGAAAAATTTGCCAACAACTCTATGAGCCTCGCCGCACGGTGGGCCAGACGAAAAAAAAATAAGAATTTGTTTCGTGAAGGCGCTGCCGCACATCACTAACGCGATTCTTGTCAGGAGCAACACGCAAATTTTGTAAGAAAACGGGTTCGCGAGGAAAATGCATAGGCGACTGCCGCCCAGCCTGCAAAACGCACGAACCGATAAGTTCTCGACGAGGATAGTGGAGGTCCTATGCGTCCTCGTGAGTGTGCCAATAATGTTCACCCGGTGTCCATTCAAATTTTGGACTGTAGCGCTTGCCAGGTTTCACGTGCATGGAGAGAAGCACATTATTCCTCTTGGATGCATTTGTCCATTTGCTGACCCCAAAGGATCAGGCGGTCCACCACCATCCGCCCTTAGGTGTGGGTGACCCGTGTTAGCCGGCACCTCACGCCACTGCGTTCAGAAAAGGTGTGGGACCCTTGAGAGTAAACTGCCCATCACCACACAACACGAACGAAGCCCGCACTGGTCAGGGTATTGCTGCGTGGATATTCACTTGTGTTATGCGGCGGTGATAACAGAGACGACCCGAAACAACGAAATATGGCCTCGTGAGCCCTCACAAGTTAGGAGGTCATTTCATTTCATTTTTCTTACCGTCCGGTGAGGCCCTACTATAGGTGGTCGCAACCCTGCTGCCTTGGAGGCTGACATTTGCTACACCAATTGCAAATCTAACTATAAGGCGGGCAAGGTGGTACGACCAAACCATGACAAATTTTGCAATTTTGCCAAAAACAAACCTAGTATGGGTAAGTCATCACACCATACTGTTTTCAACTTGGTTTGTGACATTCTAACTTCACGCCATGTCCTGTCTTTCAGTCGGAGTGATAATTTGTGTGGAATAGGCCCTAAAGGACAAAAAACTGAGGTGTGCCAAAGTTTTTTGGGATTATTTAGTGCGGGGTCACGGACGGAACACAAAGCCCCCGTGAGATTCCAATTTTGTAAGGAAGGACCATGGTCGTGAGGGAAAGAAATGGCGAGTGGTTCTCTCAAATGTTCACTCAATCCAAAAAGTATCTATGAACTTCCATGCGAGCTACTCATCATCTTTTCGAACGGAAAGGCAAAGGTAAACATGCAGGATTTCATTTTCAAATTAAGTCTCAACGATGTTCGCTACAGAGTCTGGAATCTGACATGGATGGTCTTAGCCTGGTCGCTCTTTCCCTGTATTCGTCCTCGCCACGTGTTTAGTAGCGGAACCACTTCTCTCGATAATGCTCGGTGCACCGACAATCGTTGCACAAAGTGTTGGGCTAGTGGGGCACTACTCTCGTCCGAGGGATGACACTTTGTTCGTTAAAACGCAATAACAAAGAGTACGGGGGAAAGTGGGTGTTGATAATGACAAATCCAGCACCCACGAACCCCGAACACATGGTTTCGGATGGAAAATGATAGCGTTTGTCGATCTTCGCGACGACTTTCCCTACGTCACACTCGCATACATGTAACCTTTCCTCATTATACGATAATGGTCGCAATGGGGATGCAGGAGTCAGCACCCGACACCCAGTCAAGTTGGGACAATCGGTCCACACGGCACAAAAAAACTTTGAGTACGTGAGTCTACACAATGGGTTGTTCAATCATAAAAGTTAACAGTCGCAATGCTATATGCTTTATTGTTTTTCCTCCATCCGGCGAAACGATCAAAACGAAAAGTGTAAGTTCAATCCAATCACAACGACAATCATCAGTTATGAAGGCGGCGACAAGCATGCATTCCAATAATCTCAGCGGGATTTTAGCTAAGTTAGCCCAATCGATGCACATATGTAACAAATTATGCATACATGAATCCTCCGCTGTCCGAGAGACACATCAACAACCGAAAATAAAAACCGATAAAATCTTGTGGCTACGTGGGGCTTACTGGTCCCTTTGAATTCGACGATGCTCGTTCGTGTGAGATCCGATTTAATTCAATAGGAGCGAGCGAGATCAAAAAAAACTCAGGTCATTTTGACATTCATCAGATAAATAAGAGCAAGGGAAGGAGAGAAAGAGAGACAAAAAGGGAAACAAAAACGTAGCTTGGCCGAAGAAGAGGACTAAGAAGAGAGCGAGAGAGCTCTGGTCATACAAATAATCTTGAGGGGAAGCACCCAACTATTTGCCGTGGACGTAGCTCTTGAGAATCAACAAAGATGAATTCGAAAATCAAGGCGCATCGGCCTTCTCCTCTCTAATAGTGGCCCATGGCCTTGCAACCACTTGTATACACATGCTCTTCTCACTTCAGTACTAACGATCCCGACCATCACATACCACCTCCAAACCACAATGATCATCACCTCACCAACTCAGCTTTTGCATGAACTTGCCCAGATCTCGCAGCTCGTAGCAGCCACCCGGAACACAGCCTTACGTACACTGTCGTAGGCTCGGATCTAGGCAAGTTGCCAAAAACCTGTTTTCTAATTGGCCGCGAAGAGACTCACGGGGATCGAAGATGGCATAGGTCATAACGGGAAGGAGGGAGAGCTTGCATGCATAGCGTCAGTGCAGAAAAAAAAAAGTCACCGAAACAGTTACATTGCATTCATCCGAATTCTAAAACTATTTCAAGATTGAAAATTTTAAAAGCAACATCAGTGCGTGGAATTGAGTGCACAAAATTCTTATGCCTATCTACCTTCCTACAAAACGCAGATCTTTCAAAGGCGTGTGCAGGAATATTCACTTCCAAGAAAGGACACGTCGGCGGGAGGAGAGCCCGTAATTTTCGAAGTTCACAACTCCTGAATAAAATTCCTAGCGCGCTCGTTAAGGCCAACATAAAATTTCTAAACTGAAATTATGATTGAAAGTTAAAATTTTAATTGAACTTCAAAACTTTCCTGCTACTGTGCAGGGTTTTAATTGAACTTCAAAACTTTCCTGCTACTGTGCAGGTTTCAGTTTTACTTAAAATTTCAGTCACTTGTTGAACACCATTGAAAAATCCTTCTTCAACTAAAGAGGGGGTGGGCATTTCCGTTTTAGGTAGTCCTACGTTTCTTTTTTGAATAGTTTTTTTCTTTTTCCAAAGGTGTTTATCTGCTGGAACACATTTCCTGCGTAGCAAAATTACCCATTTTCTTTTCTCTTTAGGTTGATCTTGCGGAATACTGTTCCCGCCTCGTAACATGGCCCGTTCATGCTTAGTGGGAAAATGGACGGGATTAGGGTCTGGCGAAAAGAACGGTTAGAAATTGCCAAGAGGTCTGGTACCCGCCTTTGTGCAAACGATCAGGGCCTGTCTAGGAAGAACGACACACCCAAACGGACCGAAACCGTCAATGGACCTTTCGGACTGACGACACTCTGAGCAACGACACACTCAGGGAAGGAAAAATTTATGTGAATCCATCACCGTCCAAAATATGGCTAGATACAGATAAAAGTGCGTAGCCTACTATATGGCCAAAATATGGATGCTGTGGGGTAAAGTTTTTTATCCCTGCCTTGATTTCGGATCAAAGACTGTGTTTTCTTAGTTTGCAGTATGGGGGGTAAGAGTTGCCCCGGTAGCGAGTGCAGTTTTTTCGAAGGATTTGTAGTACTTATTTTTTTTTTCGGGGCTATTGGTGTTGTGAAGGTTGGCTGAACATAGCCTGGTTTGGAATTGGCTGAAGATGAATTGTTGCGGTAGACTTGGTTTGTGATGCTGTTTCTGATAGGATTTGAACCCGGACCGTTGTTTTTAGGATTTTTACTAGGGACCGCGTAGGAACTATCGACTAGGTTTTATGACTTCTCAGTAATTTGAGAAGCTTTTGGAACTCATTCCGAATCAGGATATACGCAGACAGTCGGAAGTCTTACGGACTTCTCAAAGACCCCTGATGAGTCGTGGTTTGGCGGCCACACAAAACCGGTCGGGCCCTATGCCTGCGACTTTGTCGCATCGTGCTTCATGTTTTTTTTTTTAAATCAGTCGCGTTCGGGTTTTCTTTTTTGATGCTTATCCTGTGCTTTCTTTCATCCTCTTCTCCACGGTTTATGGTTGTTCTGGTCGTCACTACTCGAGTAGTTGCTATCTACATGTGAATGCTATATTGACTTTCACACACGACGTAACTGTCGTAGGAATCGTGCTACTGTGGAGTGCCCTCGAGCTCAATGGCGAAAAATGACAGCAACTTACGTATTGATAATCGAGCATGCTATAACTGTGGGCAAGCAGGGCATATTTTCCGTTATTGTCCCCTTCTTGATAGGCGCGTTACTCCGTCTATTAGCACAACTATCGTTCCGGTACAACCGCTGGTTACTATGCCTGCTGGCAATCTTCCTGTCGGCACGGTCGCTCCTGAGGCTAACTCCTACTCTGCTCCGTTCTCCGGTCAGTACTCGGATAAGGGGTGGTTACACAACCGGGTGGTGACTCTCGAGGATATCGTCGGCAAAATCAAGGAGAAACATGATGCAGAAGCAGCCAAAGAACTTGCGGCTAGAGAAGAAGAAGAACGAATGAAGAAGGAGAAGGTTGAAGAGGATCGTTGTCTATGAGAGAAACAAGAGAGGGAGGAGTGGCAACTCAAGATGCAGGAGGATTTGAATAGTCGGTGGGAGATGGTTTGTGATAAAATAGATCAGAAGGATAAGGTGAGCAATGAAGTTGCCATTCTACGAGAAGAAGTTGCAAGGATGTCAAGCAAGAAAAAGGCGGCCAAAACGTCATCATCCGTGGCTAAACCAGTATCCAGGGATGACGTTGTTGAAAGGCTGAAGCGGGAGCAAGAGGATTTGAGAGCAGTGGCAGATCGACGATTTGTTTTGCTAGAGGAGAGACTCTCGGAGTTGACTGAAGCTAAAGAAGAAGCGGAGGCTAGCGCCGAGTTATGGAAAGCCGAGGCACTCCGCCCTGGGAACAAGAGGGGGAGTATCGCGGTTGGTCAGACTCCTGTTTCCCACGCGAGAGTACGACAACGTAGTACACCGGCTACCTTGCCAACTGAGCCTCGAGTCAATCAGCAGTTCAAGGGCATTGTGGAGCGTCATAACATGGAGGTCAATTTCATGAAAGAACTGCGTTTGAAAGATGTCAACGAGCGGCTTGATGCAGAGAAGGAGGTTGAAAGGCTTAAAGAAGTCATGGCCAAGCTCGAAATGGAGAAAGAACGAGGAAGCAATCTGAAGAGTCGATTGGACGAGGTGGCTGGTCATTCTGCCAAGAAAGTAGGCTGCTCTTCGGTGAAGAAGAAAAGTGTGGATACCCCGGGGGAAGAGGTGAATGAGTGAAAAACTTTCGTGCGTGCGGCCAGGAAGCAAATGAAGAAACTGAATAAGGAGCAGGTGCTGGAGATTTGTGGCAAGGAGGGGATTGCGTACACTAAGTTGGAACAAACTAAGGAGGAAATTATTTGTCAGAGGGTGGCATGTGCGTTTGATGAGGAGAAAGGTAACGGAGCAGCCGTGCCTGTGGTTGAGGTTACCAAGGAGGTAAGCGAAGACTTAAGGTGCAATGACAGGCAAGACACTGCTACTTCTTAGTGTCCTGCCTGAGCGTAACGCAACTATGGTACTATGTTCGTTTTCTTTGTAAACTCAGGTCGTTCTCACACCGTTTGCTGTGGGATAGGACTGTGAATCTTCTGTTGAGCTTTGTGTTGTGCCTCTTGATCGTTTTGGGAGAGATTCCGTGGGGAGTCCAACTTATTTCATTTATTTTGGATTATCTGACGAATGAGGAATGTGGGGAGAGTAAATGGAAGGGTCCGTTAGTTTATGTTATTTTCTCTCCATGAGTCCCTTAATTTATGTTCTTTTCTTTCCATGGTGTAAACATCTCTATATTGGAAGAACGAAAAGAGACTTACCCACCAGGTGGGGAGAGCACGTTTATCGCTTTACGCAGGTTAGGGTCGCTGAAGAGGGATGAAGGAATGAACGGTTGTACAGTTGGATACGCAGAAGGGGATGTGCTAATTATGCGGCTATTCCGTTGTGTGCATGTCCTGATGGTGATTTGTTGGAGGTGGAATTTTTTTTTATTCGACTGATATGCCCAGCACTTAACACTCCTGATGAGAGGAAACAAACGAAGAGGAAGCGACGAGGGTGTCAGGAGAGAAGAAGGCGGAGGGAAGGTAGACGTGACCGTGGTTCGAGGCAACTAATTAACAACTGAAGTTTTGTGTGTTTCCATTCTAGTTCGGGTGATGTGTCGCGGAGCTTGTTGACGATCCTGGGGAAGTGTAGCGAACGTAATTTACAGGGTTTTCGAGTTGTGTGCACGGGAGGTGATGTGTTAATTGACAGATGGAAGATTGTGAGACGGGTATTTGGAGGTAGTTTAGTTTCTAGCATCTTCGGTCGAACTCAAACATGCTCGAGGTTGGTTGCAGGGTGGTGTATGCTTTGAGGTAGAACATGTGATACCCTTTCTGTGCAAATCTTTGGTGTATAAGGAACCGTTTGCTGGTTTCCTAAGTAATCCATCGAGTCGGCGTCGTATATTTTTATGGAATTTTGAGCAATTGATTTTTGCTTATACTGCTATTCGAACATTTAGTGAGAAGCGTACGAGGTCAAGACTGAGAGCTTTGCTATCTACGAACATTAGGACGCGGTTTCATATCCAAGTCTGACAGAGGTTGGTAATTCGAGTTACGTATGATGACCGCTTGTGTAAGGCGCAGGTGCGGACGCTGTGTTTCCGGATTTTGTCCACTTTGGAGGTCAATGTTGCCTGGAAACTAATGTTCATTCGGATATTGCGGGTAGTCTGGTATCGCAATAAGACCATTGGTGATTGTATTCATAATTTTTGCAAATATGCAAGGTGTAGTGAGTTTCCATGCGGGTGCGAGAAGATAGATCATCGATTTCCACGAGTGAATGGTCATGTGGTTCTACGATTGAACGACTATGAAATGGTGCCAACCTGGATGAAGAATTCCAGGAATATTGTGCGACCGTCGAGGTCCTTTTCCACCTCACGCTTGAAACAACAGATTCTGTCTTCTTTTTCCTCCCATTCGTCCTTGCTTCTTGTTACTAGGGATATGATAACCAACTCTGTTGTTAACGAATGCTTTTCTTCCTTGCCTAATACTATCACGTCTGATTCTTTGTCTTCCTCTGTTTTTTCATTTACGACCCATGGAGGTTTTCTGTCTCACGATGATGTTGAACCTTTTGTTGACCAGTTGGAAGGACTGGTGTGTGCGCCTATCGATCACAATTATGGTGATACCTTTGCTTGTTGTCCGGTAGTTTATGGGCAGGGGATGAGTAAATTATTTTTCGGTAATCCGACGTTTGAAGTTTGTCGTGAAAACGAGGATGAGGTGTTACGTTGTTCCAAAATCGAATATGAGAGTCGACATCTTCAAGGTGTAGGTGCTTGGAAGGACTCGAGAAAACTTGGTAAGGCTTACTGTATGCCGAAGCACAAGGATGTGGAGCGTTGGAGACCGATTTGTCCTTCGTATCCGGAATGCGCCGCCTCCGGGGGGAAGGTTGTTTCCAAAGGGGTCAATGCTATGTTGTGGAACCTTCCTAGTAGGTCTAATCTGAACTTAAGATGTGCTGACGATTTGTTGAAGGCGACGAAGGAAGTCAATCAGGTTTTGACTAACGATGATTTGTTGGTAGGTGCATCCTTCGGCATTAAAGAGATGTTCTCTAATTTACCGCATGCTTCAATCTTGCGGTCTTTTGAATGGGTTATTGATTTTTGGAAATTGGAAGGTATTGAGGCGGTTGCTGTTAAGAAGCGGGTTAAGGCAACATAAAAATTTCCACGATAAATGAAAGTTGAAAAAACATTCCATAAAAAAAAAATCCTTCATATTTATAAATTACCATTCCAATGTTTGTCCAATTCTAAAATTTCCAGTTTTATTTGATAAGTTCCTGTTCAAATATGAGTTTTCCCTTCCAACTACATCTATTTGTTCAAGATGGAATAAAAGTCTGGACGAGTTTATGAAATGTTTTAATTAAACTTTCATTCTACTACAACAAATATCTTCTAATTTAAATTGGATTAACCTATTTATGAATGAAACTCCTTACTTAGAATGACAGTCCAAGTACAATATTTCATGAACTCATGCAGACTTTTATTCCGTTTCTAGCATGTAGTTCAAATAAGAAGGGATACCCCATTCTTGGAAGGAAAGTTCTCAAGTAAGACGGAAAATTTTAAAATTGGAATGACATTTTTTAAGATGGAATGGAAATTTGAAATTTAGAATGTAATTTTACTATAGAATAAATATATAATTATGGGAAATTTCGATGACAGAGTTGAGAAGGAGTTGAGCAGGAGTGGAAAAAATTGGATTTCGATGACATTCTTGCTTTTTTCAAATTTGAGTTAGATTTTACCCACTTTTCTGCCGCTGGGAGAATCCTGCGACAAACCGTGGGGATCCCGATGGGAAAATCAACCAACCCATCTTTGGCATGTTTGTTATGTGCATATAATGAGTTCGTGTACCTGTCTTCCCAGGACAATGATCGCAAGTTGATCTCAGGTTTTAGATTGGTTGATGATGTCTCAATTTTCATTCAGTGCAAAGGAAGTGACTCAGGATCTCAGATCAAAGTCCTTGATATGATCGACAATTTCAAACGTTGCTATGATGAAAATTTGATACTGGAGAATACACCGTCCTCCCCCCTTCCCCCCCCGTC